CTCGTCCCGCGACGTCACCAGGCTAGCAACTGCAATGCTGAATATTATGCATGAATCACCGATGCCATGACCGATGTCATTTTATCACTGGTATTGAGCATTACACAATGCACAATATTGGTATATGCCATTGTATAATATTTGTAATAATTATGATGTGACACATTGTGTAACCACTGATGCCATGCATCAATCATGCACTTTGCGCCCATTTAGAGCTGGCAGTTGCCAGCAAACTGCGCTGTTTGTGTCGGCCACGCGATCCACAGGCCTTCCGGCCGCCTGATGCCAGGCTTGGTTTTTGCGTTTACGTTTACGTTCTTACTTTTACGTTTTTACGCGTAAAAATGTAAATTTGCAAAAGGGCATATTTTTGCGGCTATTTTTACGTTTTTACGGCTCCCTGGGACACCCAGCTTACACGATGAAATTTGCGTACAATGACGAATCCGCCGCCATCTCCAACACCCGCAATACAATGTCCACCACTCCCTTGGCAAGGGCGACGATGGTGCTTAACTAAAGCTCGTTTTCTGCCCCTTCCAGGGCGTATGGCTGCCGCTCTCCGAACTGCGCAAGTCTGTATGTACTGACCTTATGTCCACCGGGCAGTTTTCACGTTGTATTTACGTACTTTTATCAATTTTTACCCATAAAAACGTAAAAATCTTTTCGCGCGTGAAAACGTAAATACGATCAGTTTTTACGGCGCAAAAACCAAGCCTGCCTGAAGCGGTGCAGCTGCGCTCCCCCACCTCCGCAGGACCTCTACATCATACCCATCACGGAGCCCACAACCGTGGAGCCCGCCGACCCCGTGGAGCTGCAGGAGACCATGAACGACCTCTTCGACGGCGATGTGCTAACCGTCAGCGCCGGCTCTGGCGGCTTTGTCTTCAACGGCATCAACCCCCTGGAGGTGTCGCGGGGCATCACCCTGCGCGCCGTCTCCGTCGTCTCCCGCGACGAGGAGATTTCCAGAAACTTCGACTTCGAGGGCCGCTTCGCGGACGAGGAGGCGGACGAGTTTGCTGGCTTTTACGACTACGACTACTACGAGTACTATGAGTACGATTACGGTTTCGAGGGGGGCGGGGTGGGGCGCCGCAGGCTGGAGGCGGCGGGGGACGGCGAGATGCAGGTGGGGGCGTCCATCGACTGCGGCGAAAGGGGGACGCTCCTGAAGATCACGTGGGTCCCGTGGAGGCGAGGCGCCCGAGGCGAATGCGCTGCGGCTGCCGTCGCGATGCCCGTCAGGCGCATCCGTCGATCGGACGATCGAGTAGTCACGCAGTCGATTAACCATCCATTCAATCGATTGGCCATGTAGTGTGTCAGACAAACAGTCACTTAATATGCCTCGATTCATACATGTATGAATTGCGTGTATGAATTGCATAGTATGCATGACGAATCTCCTTGCTGTACGGCAGTGCATGCAATGCATACATTGCTGTACATCAAGGAGATTCGTCATGCAAAGCCGCAGCGCTTGTAGTGTTGCGCACTACCAATGCCCCATGATGCGCCCTGCCAACATTTTGAGCCGCCAAAATAGGATTGTGGCGTGACGGAAAGAAATCCAATTCGTTAGCACCGCAAATGATGTTCTGAATTGCAAGGTTTTGGTAAGAAGGATGCGCCCGCATGTTCCAAGAGTCGCTTCGGGATACGCGCGAAAGGAATGATGTGCTGAAATGTGTCTGTCGTCGGGCCATTAGTCACAAAAGTTCTTCTCATGCATCTGGAGAATTTCGCGCTGAGCCAGGGCTGCCAACACATTGCAATATGCGCAGCTGATGACATAACCAATTAGCAATTGTACCAGGGATTTCTGTTTCATGGCCATGATTCACGATCAGTACAATAGCATTTGTGCATAACGCAAATTTTATCGTAAATTTTTATCATTTTGAGCCAATAAAATGCAGAGGTACTGAAAATTTCGCCATTTTTGTGAACAACAGCACTGGGGGCGTCCGTGTTGATGGCTTCGAAATCCACGGATGCACGGACACAGCCATTGTTGTGGAGCTCGATACGCCTGGCGACTCAGTGTCTTTCGAGAACATGGTGTTCAGAAACAACACAGGAAAGCAAGGTGGTGCTATAAGTGTGGGAGAAAACAGCAACGTTACAATTCAAAACGTCGAGCTCGTGGCCAACACGGCTGTAAGGGGAGCGGCGATCTACGTGGCCGCCAACGGCATGATCAGCCAGCTGTCATCTTCCAGCATTCATAATAACGGCAGGTCTGAAACATTAACCTAAGTGGCGCAATCGCAACAACTCGGTATGCGAAAGCTTGAGACAGGAAATGGTATCATGTCCAAAACTTTCATCCAAGAACGTCACTTTGATGTGTTGTCTAGAGACTCGCCCGCGCGTGACCCACCTCAGAAACTGTGTTCCCGGTCATTTTTAGTCAACCATGCGCATGCAATTCATCCGAATCGGTGAGCTCGAGTGAGCAATTCATGTAGATTTTCTTGTGCATGCGTTGATGCAATCAGACGTCCCAATGTACCATAACCGTATTTTGCGGTGCAAGCACAGATTCCCAAATACGGCCTCGACGTAGTCACACAAAACCACAACGACACTTTGACGAGTCACACTTCATTGTCGGGTGATTAAGGCGCCTCAGCAAAGGGAAGGAGGCGCGGGGCCCCAATATTCGACGCGCCAACGGCAGCTCGTTTCACTAGGAAAAAAAGGGCCAAATAACACGTGTTCCAACGTGTGCAAAGTTTACGGGTTTGTGTTATTTTCGTGTTCTTAGCGTGCAGAACTTTGATGAAGTGTGTTTTATGTGTGTTCGCAAAAGCGCTATTTGGCCCTTTTTTCCCTAGTGTTTGCGCATACGTGCATCAACTTAAATGCAAGTGGCAAGGAAGGCTGTAATATGGTGCATTACATTCTGGGAGACCGTAGCATCCACACGAGGGCGTACATGTATATCGCCACGGACATCATACCCAAACGTTCCTGACAGCCTTTTAGTAATGCAATTAATGCTGTTCCTGCACTGAAGTTACCGCTATGCGCCTCTTATTGTTCGTCGAGCCACACTGTTACGCACACGGAATGCAAGTGAGAAATGCTTTACCCCAATGACTATATATGACGAGATTTTCACCTGAAATTTTTTGGGGAATGTGAGCCATTGCGCTGGCGCGATGTCAAAGGCACTGAGGCTGTGTATAGCATCAGAAGGTACCCAGTATCCGTATAGAGTTGAGGTGATTCTTCAGTAGATTTTACATCCAAGACTTAACAAATTCATTTGTGTTCATTGGCTTGGCGTCATGTGAGATTTGGGGTTGCGCGATGCAGATGAGTTTGCTACTTGCAAATTACAGGAGGTAAACGCGAGTACACAAACGATGCGAGAACCAACACTTGTGGCTCTCCGCCGGAATGGAAACGGCCGCCCTTTGTCTTCCCCAATTCGTGCGTGCTGCGAGGGCAGTTCCTTTTGCATGACAACAACCACCGCGATCAAATGTTGCGCTCAACATCCGCTGAAATGTGTTACTTTATTTGTGCAGGAGAGACCGCTTTGCAGGGGAAACAAGCGCAATATATGTCGATGAGGGGGGGTGCCTCGAGAGCGTTCGTCAGACAGAGTTCAAGGGAAACTTCGGCGCCAGCCTTGGGGGTGCACTGTATTCCAATGGCCCGTCTTGTGACATGAGTTTCAGCCAGAACTTGTTTGCAAACAATTCCGCTTTCAGCCGGGGAGGGGCGATGGCCCTTTACAACTTGAAGTCGAACACTATGAAGGTTGGGGCCCAAATCCAGCGCAGGGCATGGTTATCATAGAGGATCTAATATTACCTTGATTAGGTTTGATACAACCTTCCAGTCTTACTGTCCCAGGTTTGCCTTCTGTCGTCTGTATCGCTTCACAAAATGGAAGAAGTGAGCAATTGGAATGGCTCGATTTAATTGAATTGGCGCCAAATGGAATAATACAACCTGTAGTAGCAATCATCACAGTTGATTTCAAAACCCAGTGCATAGTCGCACGTGAATAGTTGCGTATGGTGAATTTCCGTTGTACATTTTGACTTTCCAAGGACTGTTGACCCTCAAAATTTGCCTACATTGTGTCAATCAGATGGACAAGACAAACTTCTTGAGGAACACTGCAACCTCGGAAGGCGGGGCCATTTATCTAACAGAATCATATGACGAGATAAGACTATCGAATTGCAGCGTTGATTTTAATACAGCCAAAACGGGCGCCGGCGGGGGCATTGCAGGCTCGGAGGTCAAGATACTGAGGATCGACAACAGCACGCTCAGAGGCAACACGGGAGGAGGGAAGGCAAGTTATCGATGACTAATCGAGTTTTGAGCCCTCAAAACTCATGCCTTACAGAAAAGACCTCCTTGCCATCGCTGCGAACACGCGAATCACAAAGCTCACAAGCTTGCCCTTGCGAGCCATCGATGGCGCCCTGAACGTGCCCCACTCATTGAAAATTCCCGCCAATGCCTCGAGGGCGGCGGCCTTTCGGACCAGCGTGTCGCTGTCACGGATTCTTGGAGCCAGACTCCGTTTCATTGTCCTTCCCCGCCGCATGCCTGAGGAGGGCTCCTCCTACATGCCGCGCTCTCGGCTCTCGACTCGTTGCACCTTCGGACCACCCCCTGAGGGCAGGTTTCCTTGCTTTCCTTACATAAGGTCACAAACACAACACAGTGCGGCTGATGTTCTAGTCACTTCGCAGCGGAGATTCCACACCATCTGTTCGCAACATGCAAAAGAGTCTTTCACACGCTTGCTGAGAAGAAGGCGCCTTTTTGTACAACCTGTTTCTTTTTCCCTTTGTAGAAGATCTCACCTTCGGACCACCATCGTCCACCTTCCGCACAGCTTCCTTTGCACTCACCCACGCACCCCGCACCCCAAACCCCTCCCGATTCGCCACCGACGCCCACTTCTGCTGCGTCCGCAGGGCGGCGCCGTCTTCTTGGACAAGCGCGGCGCCATGACCATCCTGTCCTCCCGCCTGATCGGCAACGCCGGCACCCAGGGCGGCGGCGTCTACGCCGGCCAGGACGTCGCCCTCCTGGCCCTCTCCTCCACGTTCGCATCCAACAGCGCCGCCGACGGCGGCGGCCTGCAGTGCGAGGAGTGCCAGGCGGTGGCCGCCCGCGCGCTCACCTTCTTCAACAACACGGCGCGATCCGGCGGTGGAGCATCCCTGGTCGGCTGCGCGGGAGGGGCCACTTTTAACGGATCGCGGTTTCTGAACAACACTGCGTTTGACAACGGGGGAGGGGCGAGGCATGTTGAGTGCAGCCTGGAGGGGGGCGGCGGGCTGTGCGTGGTCACGGGGCCGGGCAACGTCACCCTGAGGGCGTGTTCCCTGGGCGGGAACGCCGCGGGCAACGGTGGCGGGTTGTTTGCGCGGCACGACTGTGAGTTCGCGGAGGGGGAGCCGTGCGGGCGGGTGCTGCTGACGGGCGGGACGGCCTTCGAGGGCAACGTGGCCCGATCGGGAGGCGGGGGGGCGCTGCACTGGAAGGACGCCACCGGGCTGGCCGTGCGATGCTCGCCATCCGCGGCGGTGTACGCCGATGGGCAAGGCAACTCAACGGGGGTGCCCCTGGGATGCGCATCGTGGCAGGGGAACAGGGCCACTCAAGGGGGGTACGGGGACGTTTCGGCCACGGGCGCGCACGCCCTGGGCCTGGAGTCCCCCGCGGCGGTGTTCAACTACAGCAGCGACACGCCCATCCCGGCGCTGTTGACGATCGAGGACTACTACGGGCAGGTGGTGAGCGGCGGGCTGCCGGAGGCCACGACGCTGATACGGGTGGAGACGGCGGACGCGGCGCAGCTGGAGGGGCAGACGTCGCTGCCCACGGTGCGCGGGAGGGCGGAGTTCACTGGCCTGACGGTGAGGCAGCCAGGGATGGCAGTGGTGACTCGAGTTGTCTACTGAAGTTCGGATGTGTTGCGCCACACTCAGGACCAAACAATGAAATGTTGGCTAATGATGTTCAAGGCTGTTATGCAGACACAACGATGCGGGCTGCAGCACATCACTGCATGAGGGATGCTTCATTCATCGCTGGTGAATATGGCACACACCTGCGATTACATGACCTGGCACATGTTCGCTCGCTTCTCTCCACTGAACGCTTTCGTCAATCATGATTCTCGCTGCAATTTGGCTAAATCCCTGTAGGTAATGCGGACTGGAATTGATGTGAAGCTGCGCCTTCTTGCGAGGTGACACAAGGCTTAAAATTCTTCCGTTAGGGAAGGGACGGCACCAGCGCTCTTTAGGGTGATGGGAAAATTCTGGAATGGGAAAAATCGCATACAAAATGAAATTTGCAAGAGACCGCACAATTTCTGCCAGTGCATTCTCAACGCAGTGTCTTATCAGTTGAAAACCAACTTTCCTTCGGCCGACGGGTGCGTCGTGGTCTCATGCAGATGAAGGCAAGACAAGGGTCGTACACCCTGAGGTTCCTGGCCGACGACCTGGCACTGGACGCCATGCCAGTCACAGTCTCGGTGCGGCGCTGTGCACGGGGGGAGGTCAGGAACGAGGAAGGCGATAAGTGCACGACCTGCGGGTACAACACCTTCAGCTTCAATCCCGACAACCATACTTGCGACGAGTGCCCCAGGCACGCGCAATGCCCCGACCTGACCGCAGGCAACATACTGATCCCGGATGACGGCTACTGGCACTCCCATCCGAACAGCCCGCAGGTTGGCGTGACTCTGTGAACAGGCGCCTTGCATGTCAACATTAGAAACATTCTGGACCCGCAATGAGGTGGCATGCAAATGAGGCACGATAATCGCCGGCATCATTGCAGCAATCCCGAGGTGTGTGGCCCTGTCTGGGTGCCGACCTACGGCGTATTTGCGTTTCCAAGGAGTCTCTTGATTCTTCCTGGTTTGAGGCATCTGTGTCGTGCCGATGTGGGCACCGCAATTTTCCCTCGGGGATCGGGGGGTTTGCGCCGATCGATTCAAGGCAAACATAAAAAGGTGCTTTGCAGCATTTCAGACACACAGACTTTTCGATCGCGATTCATGGCGCCTTTGCAAGGATACAGAATGCGCAGATGCTCTGCGAGCCCAAAAGACACAAACTCCTTCGCCATGTAAAATCTCTTTTGCCATCGGGACATGAGCGCAATTCCGTTTCCATCTATTTGAAAGCATTTGGATTTGTTTTCCGCAACAAACGCACGAATTCGGCCCAATCATGCACATTCTCAACTGGAAGCTGGGATGTGTCCCCACCCATCAGGTACACAGCTGCCCCAGGCAGGCATCGTGCATGTTCGAAAATCGGTGGGACAAGCTTCGCCAATACCAATTGATCAACGCAACTGAGAGAAATCTTACAGAAGCAGACATTGCGGACTACCAGAACCTGCTGTGCCCACCGGGATACACCGGAAATCTGTGCGCAAGCTGCGAGCAAGGCTTCGGCGCTCAGGGCGACTATGAATGCGCGCTGTGCCCAGAGGCGCATCTGAACCACTTTTACTACATGATGCAGTGCCTAATAACAGTCGTGATGGTGCGCACAGCTGTTTTCCATCTTCATGACATATTCTGTCTCTCACACTCAACTTCTTGCAGTATATTGCACGCAGGGTTTTGCGCATTATCGTTAGAAAACAGGTACCTTGATTCCCCTAATTTTGAAGTGAAATTTGCGGCATACATCATCGCCGAGACTTCGTGCGTGAATCATTTTATTTTCTCAATGCTTCCGCGTATCTAAATAGCCTTTGAAGGATATCCCGCAATGCACCACATAGTACTTTTCCAAGAAAGACCATGGTATGAACCAGCATGCAAAAATCTTTTACTTCGGAGCGCTGTGCTTGGAAAAATTCCTGTTAATCCTCATCAGCAGTTGTCTTCTGTGGCACCTTGCAACATATGGAAATTCAGTCAGAGTGCAATCTAAGATTGGTGGGATCCACGCTTACATGTATGGCGCTGTTGACCAAGCATAGCCAAGCATGATGATCACGTGCTGCTTTCCTTCTGCTGCCCACATTGATATTTGCCGAAACTGCAACTACTCGCCCCAGGTGTCCCTCACAGTCCGCACACAGCTGAAGGGAATCGATGAAATTCCTGAAGACAAACAAATCGATGAAGAGACCGCCCTGCGCCTGGAAATGACGTCGTCAACTGGCACCAAAAAGCGCTTCACACGCGGCACACACTCCACGGTCATAAAAATCTTGGTGTCCTACTTGCAGGTACGGCGAATTTCTGATCGAAATCTCTAATGGAAGAAATATGTGATAGGAGCATTAGTGGATACGAGGGCATCGACGATGTGCTTACCGATTTGGAACAACTGTTGCCTGAAGAAGTGCAACATTCATCCACGGAGCTACAGATTGCGGATAGGTGTACTTTGGAACGTTTGCTTCCTGCTCTTTCAAAGACGTTATTGGCGGGCTTCTACAACCCTTGTGCAATCAGCGCAGTGGAAGCATGCAAGATCCGCTGATACCAATCCAATCATCATCAAAGTCCGTAGATGACATGGGCTACGATGGAAACAAATGTTGCTACATGCCTCAAATGCATTTTGTGCATTTTTGATGGTCGGCATGTTCTCGTAGTTCCCTTATATAAATCTAAATGACTCACCCTCTTATGGTAATGGCGCGCCATTGAGATGCGATGAATTGTCTCCTTGGATAAGCCGACATATTGGGTGGCTCATCCGGTCAATGTACGATGCATGATGTACTTTCTTTGTACCAAATCGATGCTTCTTTGTGACTGTGGATCAGTTTTTCGACATTACGGAAACCTCGCTTCTTTGTGCAACTTCATTTAGAGTTATGCTCATGGGTTCGAAATACATGGTAAAACTTCAAAATCAATATGGCATATACTGCGGGTTTGCCAGCAATAAAGGAAGAAAGATTTCAGCATCAGCAACTCCGTGACGACGGCTCTCTTAGATGAGGAATCTAGGAACGTCGGCCGCGTTTGCTATGCGCTATGCCACGTGATGGAGGACGTCCTTCATCGCGACAGTCGTGGCGACATTGCTTGCCATTGGTAGACAATGAAGAGGCTGAAGACTTTGGGGACATCCAGAGAAGCAGATGTTTGCATGCACGATTATTGGGCGAGGGGGCGGCATTGAATGGGTGCCCACGGGTTAGGACTAAATGTTTTCTTGGAAACCAGTAGTCAAGAGTGTTACAGCCCGGCGCTTCCCATTCATCCAATGTTTCATTATTAAAAGGTGGATTTTGTAACAAAATTTATCTTTGAAATAGCCTAAAATCAATATGGGACAGAGGAAATATAAGATTACAGCCACCTTGGCTGCCGCTTTGTATATCATGCAATATGGAATTGGCGTTGCCAATTTCATATTGTCTCTGTAGATTGCCGCCACGCTCATGCTAGAAACTTCCAATTGACTCCCAAGAGGCATCATGAATAACTCAGATACTCTTAATGCCGTTTAAAGTCTTGAGATCTGCAAAATCACAACCGTGTGAGATGATTTTGCACAAAATGAATATTTTGCATTTCAAGTCCAAAATTTCAACCCCGTATGTTAGCCCCGTCCCAAAAGTATAGCTCCCTACCTCCCTACCTCCATTTATTGCTATTGTATTTTCTAGATCGACTCTATTCGTAACTCCGTCACCAGATTCGGATTCCTTGGTTGGTTCTTGGTTGATCTGGATTTCGGTTACATTTGTCATCGCCGTGAAACTCCAAATTTACAATTTTACCGAAAACAGTGTTCCTATCCCACTTCCACGCGGGTCCTCAAATTCAATGCTCACATTGCGGTGTGTCCCAATTTATTTTCAACAATTAATTATGTGCCCTAACTTCTACATCAAATAGAAACTAGTACAACCTTTCAAGAGCTTCGGCCTAATAGCCATAAGACTCTTTTGGCGAATCTCTTCTATTGTGCTCAGCCATGCTTTCAAAAACTTTGTTTTCAATGAGTGACCGTGTTTGTGACAATCTAGGCAGCCTTTTTGTTGGTTCAGTATGCACGGCCTTCCAAATCTTTGAAATGACTGCCAGGTAGATGCTCTTGAACTGATCGAGGTCTCTCTTGGCCTTCGGCCGCAGATTTCACGCGGCTCCTGCTGACACCCCAAATCTGCTCCGAGCTGGGATCCTTTTAATTCTTGTATTCTTCTGAAATTGAGCCGCATTTTTACTGCACGCTGAGCCATAAAAGCATACACCTATCCCAGTGACGGTTCAATCCCATCCACCTCTTTTGAAGGGCAAGGAAAGCTCGCCGTACCCCGCCCAGTGCCCCGACAAAACTCAAAATCGCGATTCAGCTCCTCTTGGCATACTTCAAGAACAGGGGCAGCATCTGCTACGTTTGGGAGATGTGCATATAGATCTTAATGTGGCAGCTTGAATGTTACGATTTTTAAATATTTCTGACTCGCAAGTTTTAGCCTCCGTTTGTGCAAAGTGTTTGTCGGGCGCAAGTTTTGGGCCGGGGTCAGTACACTTATGCTGCTCGAAAAATTTTGGATGCGCCTTCACAAGGCATACCGCTTCACCGGATGCTACAAACAGTATGTATGAGGTATACATACTGGCATACCACGTTCTATTCACTGGCGAGAAGCGGTATAAACAGAGTAATTTGAACAGTTGATGCGCAGGAACAAAGCTATCTGGCCAGTGAAAAGTTATCCCTTTTGGCATAAACCATAAATTTGATGGCAAATTTGCTACAGCATGTTTAGTGTTTTCATTCTTGATCATTCGCAGGTGGTATCTCTAGCAAGACAGATTGAACTGGATTATCCGTCATTCTTGAGAAAATACCTGACATTGACATCTCAGACGAGCGCAGCGATGGGCGAGATGGTGTCCTTAGATTGCTCTCTTCTAGACACATCGATGATTCCCAAGTCTATACAGTCTACAATCATCAGCGTGTGCGTTCCAGGTGATGGTGTGAGTATATGGCAAAGCATGTGAACGTCATGAATTGTGCAAATCGCATATTGTTGGTTAGCGCAATGTCAAGCTTTTTACGGGGCACCGTTGAATCTGTTACTATGTATGCATTGCCAATAGAAGTAGAAGCTTTTGAACGAAAGGCTACCCAATCTTTCGTGTCCCCAGTGGAGCTGCCATTTTGTTTAAGTATGTTAGACAGCAATTTATCCTATAAAAGGAAACCTTGTGCTTGATTTAATTGTGGACAGCAGAACTCATGGGTGCTCGCAACGCATTTGACAATTGCGCGCTGATTTCGCCCTTAGGAAAACTTCATTCGAGTTGTGGTCTTATGCATAAACGGTTCGCAGCCAGTACATTCCACCATCAGATTTTTTATTAATATAAAATAAGAATTAGTCCACCTTGCAGGCAACGAAAATGTAAGCATCCTTAGAGTCCTTAGAGTAGGTTAGAATCGCACCTGAAGCCGCATCGCTGCGCCTGCATTTCTCAAATTCGTGTGCCATATTGCGAAAAGCACACCAGTCTCCATCATGGACTGAAGCGATTGCCTGCGACTTCAAATAATTAAAAAAATATCATAAAGAGAAATTTATTTCATTACCTTCAAATCTATGACTCACGCATTTGAATTCATGACTTTAAGTCACACAGAAACCTCCATTTCAACTTGATCAGTACTGGCGGCTGATTGCCATCGCATTGTTTCGTGACCCTCAGTGATAATGACCGCCGGAGCAGCCGTCGTGTGGTGGTTGGCGTTCTTCGTCAAAGCCAGGAGGAAGAACCCAAAGGCAGTGTTCAGAAAGTGGTTCATTCCGCGTTTCGTCGTGACCGTCATCGCCATCATTTTTTTCTCGTACCCCACCGTCACGAACACCCTTCTCTCCATTTACAACTGCCAGGAGATGGATCAAGGCGGAGAGGGCATCCCGTACCACATGTACGCGGAGGCCAGGGGCAAATATTGGAAGAGAGACTACAACATGAAGTGTTATAAAAATGCGCATCTTGCTCTGGCCACTTTGATAGGTTTTCCAGGTATGGCTCCATGACATATCATCCATCTGGGGGTACCGAAATTAATTTCCATTACGATGCTCTCTTACAGTAATTCTGTGTCTTGCGAAAATTCACTGATATGACGAACACTGATTCTCATAAAACACTTGCGCCCTATTGGATCGCAGTTCGGAACTATACCCGCTTACTTCCTCTATGCGGCAAAAATAATACAATTAGTAGAGAGGCCGCATTGGTATCACACACCCATTAGCTTTCCTCGAAAACAGTATCACAGCAGCTCCCATGCATGTATCCCCTGCCGCCAAAAATCATGGTAAGAAGATAAGTTATGGGAGTAGTTTGAAGCAGCCCATCCCAGACCCGACCAAAAGGTTGCGCACCAGACCTGGAAGGCCCCGCAGGCGAGTGGCGACACTTCCCGTAGCCTTTGCGATAACGGAAAGACAGGGGCGCCTACGGTACTTGGGCTCTGGCGCAAAGAGCGGCTCCCTTCACAACGGACGATCGGCCGAAGTGGCGTCTAGATTTGCAACTCGCCATCGGCGATTGCTGGACATCCCCGCCATCGTGCACGGCGGCGCCCCGGCATGTTTGGGATCCGCCGTTGCCAATAAGTCACGTGGTGCCTGAAGACTAGCCCTGGAATACCTGCTTGCCTAAAAGGCTCTCGCTTTGGCACCGAACTGCAATTAATGGCCTGCCTTTATTAATGGCCTGCCTTAATGCCCTTATGTGCACAGGGATCATCATATTCTCGATTGGTATTCCCGTGTGGTCCGCCCTGTTCCTCCGTCGGCACAAGGACAAATTGATGGACCCTCTGTTCCTCATCACCTACGGCTTCCTGTACGAGGAATACGAGTCGACGTACTTCTACTGGGAGAGCATCATCATGCTGCGGAAATTCCTGGTCGTGGCGGTTATCATTTTTCTGTCAAGCGTCGGCCTGGACGTTCAGGTCCTTGTCGCACTGGGCATCGTCATATTGTCCATGGTTCTGCAGGTATCAGCCTTGGTGCCTGCTCGCACAAGCTGTGACGGAAAAAACATTTTTTATCCTAGACAAAGAAGGAGGGGAAATTGGAGCAAGCCCAATGGATGTGCGTATGCCTGCGTATATTTCACGCGGCATTTTCTGTTGTGATTATTATGCCAGTGTTATGAACAGTAAATGGCACATGCGGAATCGGTGCATTGAATATTTTGAAACATTTAAGTGAACATCGAAAATTCAAACGTAATGCGGTGAGAACATTCCATTTTCGCATGCAAC